CCTCGCCGCCGCCGCCGCCTCCGCCCCCCCAGCCGCCGCCTCGGCCCCCGGCCCTGGCCCCGGCGTCGGGCGTGCCGGGCGTCTCCGGGCTGCGCAACCACGGCAACACCTGCTTCATGAACGCCGTCCTCCAGTGCCTCAGCAACACCGAGCTCTTCGCCGAGTTCCTCGCCCTCCAGCACTACCGGGGAGCAGGGGAAGGAGGAGAAGGGGGAGCGGGACCACCACTACCCCCCAACGGCACCACCGACGGGCCTCCCCCCATGACCCCCGCCGCCGCCGCCAGGCCCCCCGAGGAGGAGGAGGAGGAAGAGGAGGAGGAGGAGGGCTCGTCCCAGGGGGAGGTCACCGAGCAGCTGGCCCAGCTCGTCCGCGCCCTCTGGACCCTCGAGTACACCCCCCAGCACAGCAGGCACTTCAAGGTGGGTGGTCGGCGGAGGGGGAGGGAGGGACCCCCCACCACACACACACACCCCTCAAGGTGGGGGGAGGGAGGGAGGAAAAAAAAATCCCCGCGGCAAGCATATAGCTAGCCCCCTCCCCGGCCCCCTGGAGCCACAACTTCCCCAGCCAAGGCTCCCTCTAAGCAAGAATGCCACTGGGTGAGCCGCTGGCGTTAAAGGTGTGGACCGGAGATTGGGCCTCTGCCTCCCTTGGTTGCCTCTAGAGCCCCATCCTTCCTGAGCCCAGACCAAAGCGCCTGAGCCGGAGGCTAAAAGAAGGGTGAGCTAGCTCACAGTAAACTCGGCTGAGAGGGAACACTACTGGGGGAGTGGGGGGAGAAGGACCCTTCCTCAGCACACACACCCCTCAAGGTGGGAGGGTGGGAGGGAGGCCTCCCCCCCCCGCAAGCAGAAAGCTAGCCCCCCGGGGAAGGAGCCAGCCGGGCCCCCGGAGCCACACTTTTAAGCAGCGCTCCCTCTAAGCTGTGGAGTCCTCTGAGCAGAAATTCTATTTTGTGAGCCACTGGCATCAAAGTGCTGAGCGAGCCATTTGGCTGCTGCATGGATCAGTTGGCTCTGGAGCCCCTCCTTCCACAAAAAAGTGTGAGCCGGAGGCTAGAAAACGGTGAGCTAGCTCACACTCACTCAGCTTAGAGGGAACACTGGATCTGACCCACCTCTTCCCCAGTTCTTATGAGCATCAGTTGGGAACAATGCTCCCTCTACACTGCAAAGTCTTGTGAGCAAAAATCCTACTTTCTGAGCAGCTGGCATTAAAGTCGTGAGCGAGCGGTTTGGCTACCGCATCAATTAGTTTGCTTTGGAGCAATGCTCCCTCTAAGCTGTGGAGTCTTGTGAGCAAAAATTCTGCTTTGTGAGTTCCTGGCAATAAAGTCGTGAGCGAGCAGTTTGGCTGCTGCATCAATGAGTTTGCTCTGGAGCCCCATCCTTCCTAAGCGGAGACAAAACCCCATGAGCTAGCTCACACTAACTCAGCTTAGAGGGAACACTGCCCAGTATTAAACTTTGTTGGTCTTCAGCTTAGAGGGGACACTGCTCCCAGGGTGTCTGTTGTGGGGAGGGGAAAGGAAAGGAGATTGCAAGCAACATTCCCTCTAAGCTGTGGAGTCTTGTGAGCAAAAATCCTACTTTCTGAGCAGCTGCCATTAAAGTTGGGAGCGAGTGATTTGGCTGCTGCATAAATCAGTTTGCTCTGGAGCTGTCCTTCCGAGCTGAGACAAATATGCGTGAGCCAGAGGCTAAGACACTGTGAGCTAGCTCACACTCAGCTTAGAGGGGACACTGCTCCCAGGGTGTCTGTTGTGGGGAGGGAATGCTCCCTCTAAGCTGTGGAGTCTTGTGAGCAAAAATCCTACTTTGTGAACTGCCGCCATTAAAGTTGGGAACGAGCAATTTGGCCGCTGCATAAATTAGTTTGCTCTGGAGTCCTCTTCCCTGAGCTAGGACAAAAATGTGTGAGCTGCAGGCTGAAAAACCGTGAGCTAGCTCACACTCATCTTAGAGGGAACACTGGAGAAGACCCCCTTCCTGACACACAGACACACACACCCTCGCTCAAGGTGGGAGGGAGGGCACCGCAAGCAGAAAGCTAGCCCCGCAGGGAAGGAACCAGCCGGGCCCCTGAAGCCACACTGTTAAGCCCTTGGATACCGCAGCTTTCTACCCCATACTGGACCCAAAGCAGCTTTTCACATCCTTCTCCTCGCCTCGTCTTTGGTTCTCACAACGACCTTGTGAGGTAGGGGTAGGCTGAGAGAGAGAGGGCAGCCGGCCCAAGGTCACCCACCCAGCCGACTTCCCTGGCAGCAGTGGGAGTCTGAACTGGGCTCGCCCAGATACTGGTCCAGTATCACAACATCACCCTGCCTCTCCAGTGCCTTTGGAAGGAATTCTAATGGGGGGGGGGGGAGGCATTCAAAATGTGTTGTCTCCTGCTAGTCTGCAGAGGTAAAGCCCCTTCGACCCTCACGTTCTGCTGCACCTGCAGACCAGAGCAAAGGCAAACTGGTTTTCCCAACTGGAAGGCCCTCCCACACCCCTCACCCTGCTCTGGCCTGGCCTGCTGCTAGGCCTTTGACCAGTTTGGCAGTTGGCAAGTGTCACTTTTCTAGCTGGTTACAGCTGTCGTTCAAGACAGGGGGAAATGTTGGCAGTTCTAATCGTTGCAGGGGGCCCCCCCCAGAGTGCCTGGAAGGGGGTGTCCAGCGGTGACCTGGAGTCTCTGCCTGCCCAGGTGGGGAGGGGAGGTGAAAAGTATGCATCCGGAGAGTGATTTCAGCTAAGCGTACCTTTATTTAGTCAGGAACAAATGACACCTTGGCCGGCTCGCAGGCCGGCTTATATTCCTTCAGAAAACCCGCCACCAAACACACACCCCACTCCCGATAGGCTATTTACAGTAACTGAGAGACCTATTGGCCTCTTGGCTGGGGACCTAGCCCTTTCATTGGGCCTGGCTAGGATCCTACTGGCCCATTGTCTTTCGGAATGAAGCTTGAGGTTTTTTAGTCTACTGACAAGCCCAGGCATGCCCGGCTTCCTTAGGCTGGATACACAACAGGAGGCATCCTGTCCACCCCCCTCACTCACTCACCTTTTGCCTTGTGGGCTTTCACACCTGGAGGCAGACATGTTTGTTTACAAAGCTTGGAGAAGTTGTCCAGTCTGTGGAATGTGACTCCCCCCCCCCCCCCCCCCATGCATGGGACCCTGAGAACAGCTTCAGGGGAGAGGGGGTGGGGGGTGGTCAGCTAAGATAATCCCTCCCTTCCGCCTCCCGAATTCTTCAGCTGGGTTCAGCGCTTTGTAAGGAATCACGCCTGCGACTTGTGGGTCATGAATTGCAAATAGGCAAGGAGGTGCAGAATTTCCACTTCACACACCGGCGCAGGTGTTGAGATCAGGCCCCTGCGAAACGGGATACCTTTTGGCCGAGCCCTGGAGACTTGCACGCAACTTAAGCCTCCCGTTCTCCATCAGGATTCAGCCAAAGCAGGTGCCCAGCATGACTTAATACCGCCTTTCTAGGGCCGCATCCTGGCATTAAAGTCACGTCCTGGGGCTGGCTCTTGGAGCCTAGGTGCCAGTGAGTCTTGCCCGTAGAGGGTCATGGAACTTCCAGAGGTCTGTGAATGGGTCTTCCGCTTTTTGTTGTTCAGTCGCACAGTCGAGTCCGACTCTTCGCGACCTCATGGACCAGATCCCGCCAGGCCCTCCTTCTTCCGCTTAGGGAACCGTTAGCTTATGATTTATCGCTTGGGATGACAGTGGAAAGTCGTCTCGCTTTTAAGTGCCCGGTTGAGGAGACTGTGGCACACTGTGTGTCAGTCAAACCGTGCTTCCGTCTTCCTCCTGCCCAAACAAGTGCCAGGCTACAGCAGGATGTTTACTGCTTACAATAGCTAAGCACTCTAGAGGTTTTGCCCTTGCCGGCTTGGTGAAAAACCAGTAGTGTTTGCAAAATTACTGATGGGTGCATCGGCTGAAGTAAGGGCAAGTTAAGAGCACGTGAAGTCAGCCGTCTCTGGGGTGGGGGTGGGGGCTGTCTTCCCCAGGTACAAAAGGGCCACCGCCTGCCCAAAGGGAGGGCCAGCCCTCCTTGTTTGCTGGATGTAGGTCACTGGTTTAAGCAGATTTCCCTGCTGTTTCTGCAGAGGCTGGCTGGGCCCAGTGGCCACCCGCTAATGGAGGGTTTTCCAGAACGCTGCTTTGCTTGCGGAGAAGCAGTGGTTGTGTCCCCGCAGGGAGGATTTGACACATGAGCACATCTTTCCGAGCAAGCCTAAATCACACAGTTTTTGTCACGGTCTTAAAGTAACAAGCGCTTACTTGGCATTTGAGGGCAGCCTCTCTTCCCCAAAGCGCTGCAAGCTGTCAGCGAGAGTTTTCTCCATCCGCGTGGTGCTGCTCTTTTCGCCTTGTCTCTCTCCTTCTCCGCTCTTCTGTGGGTGGGAGGAATCCCCCCCCCCCACAAGATATTGTGCAGCTTTGTCCCCGTGCAGAGAAACCTCTCATGCCACGGGCATGCAAGCGCAGCCTGCAGGAGCAGGACTGAGACAGCCAGCATGTGCATGATGCAACAGGTCTTTGGGGAAGAAATGTACAGCTCTTGACAAACCTGAAATATCTTCAGGGGGCAGCTGTGTTGGTTTGCAGTGGGTCTTGGTCTGGTAGCACCAGGACGACTTTCGGGGGGAGAGCTTTCGAGAGTCGGAGTTCATCACCCGGAAACTCTTGTCCACAGAAACTCCCGACACGGATCCCCGGCAGCCCCGTTTCAGAGTTAAGTTCCGCTTCGCTCTAAGGTGCTGCTGGGCTCACATGTAGCTGGAATACCTGGTGCTTTCCTGTTTCTAAAACGTTTAGGTATATTTTTTAATCACAACACAAATCACAAGCAAAGCAATAAAGCCATTGAGGGGACGTAGGAACCGGTTCGGAACCCTAATAACAAGCACAAGGTAATTCAGGAACAGAGATTGATAACAGTGTGAAGGAAAAGTTCAAAAGTGCTGTTTCTAAAATTTGTTTGGAGAGAGTGTGGTTGGGGATTCCGGCCTGTGGCAGCGGGTACAACTGGCAACCCTGTGCGTGAACTGCCAGCCGCCAGGTGTGATGACAAGCAGACAGGTCCCTGGGTGCCATCCAGGTGGGGCTGTGCTCTTTGTCTCTTGAGCTTGGTCTTCTTGGGGTTCGCAGAGTACTGATTCCGTGCAGAATTCAATGTTCCCTCTAAGCTGTGGAGTCTTGTGAGCAAAAATTCTACTTGGTGAGCTCCTGGCATTAAAGTTGTGAGCGAGCGATTTGGCTAGGGCATAAATTAGTTTGCTCTGGAGCCCCATCCTTCCTGAGCTGAGACAAAAATGTGTGAGCCGGAGGCTAAGGAGCTGCGAGCTAGCTCACACTAACTCAGCTTAGAGGGAACACTGGTGCAGATAGATTCAGGTGGGGTCGGCGTG